CTGTACACTAATGCGCAAAGCATGGGAAATAAACAAGATGAGCTTGAGCTCTTGGTACAGCAAACTAAATATGACATAATAGGCATCACTGAAACCTGGTGGGATAAGTCCCACGATTGGAATGTAATAATGGGGGATACAATCTATTTCAGAGAAACAGACCAGACAAGAAAGGAGGAGGAGTGGCGTTATATGTCAGGGATGTGTTTACCTGTGAAGAGATCCAAGATTTAGAACCTCAAAGCCAAAGTGAGAGTATTTGGGTCAAAATTAAGGGAGAGAAGAATAACAGTGACCTCATTGTGGGAGTTTACTATAGATCCCCAAGCCAAACGGAGGACATAGATGATGCCTTCCTGGAACAGATGGCCAAGCATGCAAAAGGAAGGGAGATAGTAGTAATGGGGGACTTCAATTACCTGGATATTTGTTGGATGTCAAACTCAGCCAAGAGCATAAGGTCAAACAGATTCCTTACTGGCCTTGCAGACAACTTCATTGTCCAGAAAGTGGGAGAAGCAACAAGAGGAACAGCCATTTTAGATCTGGTCCTAACCAATGTTGATGACCTGGTTAGTGGGGTAGAAGTGGAAGGATCATTAGGCGTGAGTGATCATGCTCTTCTGAAGTTTACTATACAGCGGAAAGGAGCAGCCAAGCATACTAGGACTCAATTTCTTGACTTTAAGAAAGCTGACTTCATAAAACTTAGGGAAGTGCTGGGTGAGATCCCATGGACAGTAATACTAAAAGGAAAGGGAGTTCATGATGGCTGGGAGTTTGTTAAGAGGGAGATAGTAAAGCACAACGTCAGGCAATACCAATGAGACGGAAACATGGAAGATGCCTAAAGAAGCCAGGGTGGTTATCTAAAGAACTTTTAACTGAGTTAAGATTAAAAAAGGATGTGTACAAAAAATGGAAAAGGGGGGAAACCATCAAAGAGGAATTCATACAAATAGCCAGCACGTGTAGACACAAAGTCAGAAAAGCTAAAGCACAGAATGAACTCAGGCTTGCTAGAGAGGTTAAAAGCAACAAAAAAGGCTTTTATGGGTATGTTTGTAGCAAAAGGAAGAACAAAGAAACAGTGGGGTCACTCAGAGGAGAAGATGGTGAAATGTAAACAGGGGACACAGAAAGGGCTGAACTCCTCAATGCCTTCTTTGCCTCAGTCTTCTCCGATAAAGAAAACAATGCCCGACCTGAAGAATTTGGAGCAAATGATTCAGCAAAGGAAACACAGCCCAGAATAACTAAGGAGATAGTACAAGAATACTTGGCTAGTTTAGATGTATTCAAGTCTCCAGGGCCAGATGAACTGCATCCAAGAGTATTAAAAGAACTGGCAGATGTGATCTCAGAACCACTGGCAGTCATCTTTGAGAATTCCTGGAGAACAGGCGAAGTCCTGGCAGACTGGAGGAAGGCAAATGTTGTCCCTATTTTCAAAAGGGGAAAAGAGAGGACCCAAATAATTACCGCCCAGTCAGTCTGACATCAATACCAGGGAAGATTCTGGAGCAGATCATTAAGCAAACAATCTGTGAGCACCTAGAAAGGAATGCTGTGATCACCAATAGTCAGCATGGATTTCTGAAAAATAAGTCATGTCAGACTAACCTGATCTCGTTTTTTGACAGAATTACAAGCCTGGTAGATGAAAGGAACGCAGTGGATGTAGCCTACCTGGATTTCAGCAAGGCATTTGACAAGGTGCCCCATGATATTCTTGTAAAGAAGCTGGTAAAATGCGGTCTTGACTATGCTACCACTCAGTGGATTTGTAACTGGCTGACTGACCGAACCCAAAGGGTGCTCATCAATGGTTCCTCTTCATCCTGGAGAAGAGTGACTAGTGGGGTGCCACAGGGTTCTGTCTTGGGCCCGGTCTTATTCAACATCTTTATCAATGACTTGGATGATGGACTCAAGGGCATCCTGATCAAATTTGCAGATGACACCTAACTGGGAGGGGTGGCTAACACCCCAGAGGACAGGATCACACTTCAAAACGACCTTGACAGATTAGAGAACTGGGCCAAAACAAACAAGATGAATTTTAACAGGGAGAAATGTAAAGTATTGCACTGGGGCAAAAAAAAAATGAGAGGCACAAATACAAGATGGGTGACACCTGGCTTGAGAGCAGTACATGTGAAAAGGATCTAGGAGTCTTGGTTGACCACAAACTTGACATGAGCCAACAGTGTGACACGGCAGCTAAAAAAGCCAATGCAATTCTGGGCTGCATCAATAGGAGTATAGCATCTAGATCAAGGGAAGTAATAGTGCCACTGTATTCTGCTCTGGTCAGACCTCACCTAGAGTACTGTGTCCAGTTCTGGGCACCACAGTTCAAGAAGGACACTGACAAACTGGAACGTGTCCAGAGAAGGGCAACCAAAATGGTCAAAGGCCTGGAAACGATGCCTTATGAGGAACGGCTAAGGGAGCTGGGCATGTTTAGCCTGGAGAAGAGGAGGTTAAGGGGTGATATGATAGCCATGTTCAAATATATAAAAGGATGTCACATAGAGGAGGGAGAAAGGTTGTTTTCTGCTGCTCCAGAGAAGCGGACACGGAGCAATGGATCCAAACTACAAGAAAGAAGATTCCACCTAAACATTAGGAAGAACTTCCTGACAGTAAGAGCTGTTCGACAGTGGAATTTGCTGCCAAGGAGTGTGGTGGAGTCTCCTTCTTTGGAGGTCTTTAAGCAGAGGCTTGACAACCATATGTCAGGAGTGCTCTGATGGTGTTTCCTGCTTGGCAGGGGGTTGGACTCGATGGCCCTTGTGGTCTCTTCCAACTCTATGATTCTATGATTCCCTTGGCAGTTCCCCACCCAGTTCCTCCTACAATTCCTCTGCGTCCATCCAGTCCATGACATTGGGGGGGGGGGGGACATTTGACCCCTGGGTCTCAGATCTCCCAGCCCTTCAGTAAACCTGGAGGTAAAAACAGTAGCAACAATTTATCATCCAAGAAAGCAATGTGGGCCCCACAGAGACTCAGATGTGCATGGCAATATATTATGACAGCAGTGCTTTTTTCCTAAAAAAATGTTTGGGGTACTCTCATTTTCCTACTCTTATTGAAATACTGCTCCTAAATGAGGCCAAACTTAGATTCACAAAATGTTTAGGGGTATGCGTCCCCCTGTGTCCCCCCACAAAAAAGCACTATATAACAGCATAAAATATTTGAGTTAAATTACCTTTTTCTTTAATGAAGGGTGTGTGGCCAGCCAAGGTGGGTGAAGTTGTGCCAGGTAAGTCCAGGGCTTTTTTTGCTGGGGGAACTCAAGGATACGTAGTACTGGCACCTCTTTTTCGAGAAGAAAAGCAGAGTCCTAAAGGAGAAGGGGTGGAGCTAAAGACGGAAACAGCTTTATCTGTAATATATTTTTCTCCTGCTTATTGCACTGGCCGCATGGGAGGGCTTGAGGCCACTTTTTAAATTGGCTGATTAGATGATTGAGGAGGAGCAAGCAAGGGGCAGTGAAGTAAAGTTTATTGTTCAAGTGGAGAATTTGGCCCAGATCTCAGATGATTCCCTGTCTGCATATGAATATTTGACATTTCTTGCTCACTGTTTCCATGTTGCGTATCAACTTTATAGCTCCTTCATTCCGTTCTTACCAAGGAAAGAGGAGTTTTTGTTCTGTTCTGAAGATAAGAGTCATCTGCTGGGGAACAGCAGGTGAGATGTCAAGGACACCCAGGAAAAATGTTGATGCAATACATCTATGAATGAAAACAACAAAGAAGGAGTTGTATATTGTTTTCATAATGTTCTCTCAAAATTGGCAGAGGCATTCGTCTTGAGGTCATATCCAGACCAGTTTCGTGCCCTAAGATATTTTGGGCCCTTCCTGTGCTCTTGTTTCTGATCACAATTAATAATAAATTAATGGGTCAACCCACCCAAAAAGACCAGAGGAGTGGAGCAGAAACTGTTGGTGGCAAGGAAAATTAGGTATAAAAGGAGAATTCCCTGCATATGAAGACCTAAGTTTGGGGCAAGTACTCTTTCATGAGAGAACCAGTGGCAAAGGAAGGTCAGGTGGTACCCGGAGCGAAAAATTTCTTGTCAAACCCCCTCCCCCATTGAAAATGGTTTGACTTTATTTCATATTTTGGGGGGGGGCCCTACAGCTGAGGGGCAGGGCAGCTTACTCTTTGGCATTAACCCCTTCATGCATGAATTAGACTTAAACATGTTAGTTATATGAGGCTGGTATCCCACAAAAATTATCAACATTGTGGAACTTTTCTGCACAGCTTTTCAAATGGACAGGTCTCTTACACAACCATGTATTACTTGGATTTGTAACAACATACTTTTAATATAGTAAGCACAGATTCAGTTATATTGCTGCTTTTGGGTCCCGTCTCCCCGAATAGACCATTAGAGTCACCTACAATTTTTATACATATAATACATATTATTGCTCACTGGGGCAAGATGGTATGAACACATAATGCAAATCCTGCCCTAGTCTCCAGGTTCTACTCAAAGCGCTGGTTCTGACCAATAAAGCCAGGACTGCAGTATGTCCAGGACCACCTCTCCCCATCTGCAATCATCAACTTTGTGTGCCTCCTCCTCTGTGAGTGGTCTGGAGGGCAGCAGTACAAGAGTGGACCTTTTCTGAGGTGGCTCCCTGCTTGTGGGCTGCTCTCCTCAGAGAGTACTTGTCTGGTGCCTTCATTATCTTTAGGTGCGAGGCAAAAACATTCCTCTTCTCTCAGGCCTTCAGCTAATTAAACAAACTATAGCCTTTTAAACAAAGGGGAGAGGGGTATTATTATTGTTTGTTTCTATGTTATATATTTTTGTGCTATTATATTATAGATAGATAGATAGATAGATAGATAGATAGATAGATAGATAGATGATGCACCCATCCATTCATATTAGTTAATCCATAGCTGGAAAAGATTTTGGCAGGTTGAGGATGGGAGTGGAAAGGAAGAAGAGCAAAATAATTTTGCTTCAGATAGGGATGAATGAAGCAGCCAGTTTTGTTGTTGTTTAGTTGTTTAGTCGTGTCCGCCTCTTCGTGACCCCATGGAGCAGAGCACGCCAGGCACTCCTGTCTTCCACAGCCTCCTGCAGTTTGCTCAAACTCATGCTGGTA